CACGGGACTCCAAAGATACGTACACCTATATGTGAACCAAAATGTAGTCACCTACGAACACCTAGCCACTAAAGCCAAATTACGAACAAGAGACTACTTTAGGTACTTGCAGATCCGTGACTTTGCACAAAACCCTGACATACGGAAGGCGGCTCTGACACCACTAACCTTCTTCGAAAAACTATGTTACAATGAGACAACACAAACTAAACTCATTACGCTACTATACAACCACCTCAATGGGAACTCGAACGAGGAGGGCACGCTGCGATACACCGACCAGTGGGAAGCCGACCTGGGGGAGGTATTAGAGGGAACGGAGTGGCAGGATATATGGGAAGCATGTAGCAAAACCACAATATGTGTGACGCTCCAAGAGCAATCGTATAAAACACTATTTCGATGGTACCTGACCCCCGTGAAACAGAAACATATGGGGCTAAGTCCCACAGATGACTGCTGGCACGGGTGCGGGGGGCGGGCAAGTATATACATATGTGGTGGGGCTGCCCGAAGGTCGCAGACTACTGGAGTAACATTGTGGAGCTTAGCTCCCAAATCCTGCAAAGGCGACTGGGATTAGACCCATGGGCATGTCTGCTCTCAAGACCCACAAAGGATCTCCCCAGACACGAGCAAAGACTTCTTAACATGCTCTATTTAGCAGCCCGAAGGTCCCTAGCACAACAGTGGTCATGTCCAGATCTCCCACATATATCCCTGGTTAAGACAAAAATGCGAGATAATTACATAATGGATAAATTGACCTCTCAGGTGCGAAACACCATGACTAAGTTCCAAAAAGTCTGGGATCTGTGGGAGCAATACGATACTTAGCACAACAACTTGGGGCGCGGGGCAGCATCCACGCAACTTTCAATTGGCGGGGCGGGGGCCCACCAAACGCCAACCACCACATCAACACTCGGACAGGCGGAAGAGGCACCACTGCTAGACGAGGGTGGGGCCGGGCCCAGCACATAAAACACAACTTAAGGGAACTGACTACCCCCATCGGTAGTTCACTCGGTAACCATATCAAACTGATATAGCTAAACACGCAGGTACTTGTCTCCAACTCTTTACTTTCCTTTCTATCTCTCTCTTGTAGGCAGGCACCCCAGACCTGTAAGTAGGCAGAAGGGGAAAGGCAGATAAAAGCACATCAGCGTTTTGTGGTGCGTAGAAGGGAGGGAGGGCGCAGTCGCATACCCCAGGAAGCGGCGAGACTGACACTCCACTCAATAAGCCTAACCCTTCACAGCAAAGCTATTGTACATAGTTAACACTGCTTGCCACCTATACCAAAAATTCAGACGAAGTCACCCACAGAAAACTTGATGTATATGATATGCCTAAACTGACAACTGTCACTTGCATTCTATATGCTAATGTATGACTGCGCTGTCATGTACATAAATGTAACTGCTTTCATGATTACCATCTACTTTGTCAAACCAAAAATAAAGAATTAAAAAAAAATAAAAAAAATTATGGGTATCTCTACTTATACCGTCATTTTCCCATACCAGGTATCAAATCCAAGTAACCTGGGTAAACATAGACTATGCAAAAATAGTATATGTCTAGATAGAAATTCACAAGCCACTGATGCATACCCTGAACCCCATGCTTGGTGCAGGGGAAAGGGACTGCGTCAGCCTTGCCCGCCTGAAATATTTCCCGGCTCCCTGGAGAGGAAAGCCTGCCTCTAACGGTTTCCTAGTGTACATCTGACAGTTGGGGAGGGGGCGAGCGTTATTGCTCCCTCCACCTTGGCGGACACACGCAGTCCGCGGGTTGCGCCGGCCGCGGAAGGGGGCCATGTGCAGAGGCTCCGGTCGCCGGGGGCGCAAGCGATAACACAGCACCCCGCGACCGGAGGAGAGAAAAACCATAGGTGGGACACAGTAGGCACCGCTGGAGGCGTACTCCGCGGTCCCGGAGCTCGGAGGAGGCAGAACAGGCCGGCCTCCTGAAACCCCCGAGCGGCAAAGTACCCGCAAAGCCGAAAATGGGATAGATAAGGGGACAGAAAGGGGAAGAATCCCCAGAAGAAATGTATAGAAAACCAGAGGAACACAAACTCCCCACAAACCCCAGAGCAATAGGCAGAGGGGATGAAGCTAATCACACAAATAAGTCCCCAAATAATAAAATCATACAGCCACCAACTAATAATAGCAGGAGGCAATGATACTCTGACCTGTACTGATGCGGAGCAGCAAAGAAAGAGGAAATGATGTATGAAGAGGGGAGTTTTATAGTACCTAACTTTTTTCTGATTGGTTGTTTTTCTGTGCTGCTGTGGAATTCTAGTAAAGAGAGACTTAAGCAAATATGAAGCCTCCTGTCATGTTATAAAATTAGTAACTTTGAACCAACCTCACTATATGATTCTGTAAAGCTACATAGTGCATCTATACGTACCTCCCCTTTCGGATCTTTTCAGGGATGCTGAATCTGATTATTATCATTATCTCTTCCACTCTGAGTAAATTAAGACAAACGGGGGGTGCCATATGTAAATAAATGAGAACGTTCTGAGTATACAAGATAAAACAATTTAGGCAAATTCTCTTGTTCCTAACCAGATCTTTCCTTGGTAGTTAATAATTAAAGGCTCAAGATATTTTGCATTGGTCCGATATATCCCCCCCTTACGAAGGGGGAGCATATTACTTAATACAAAATACTGCATTTTCTTTGAGGAAGATGCTATTGATTTTTGCTAGACTTGGATACTTTCTCCTCAGTACTGGAGGTGCCGAGAAAACCATTTATCGATCACCTTAATACAAGCATTTTAAACTCAAAGAGTAGCAAGGGCTAAATAAACAAGGTTTAAGTTTACGTGGGACGCAAAAAAACCAAAAATGTTCATAGAAATTTAGGTTTATTTTGAAAAGTACAGTATAAAAAAAAAAAAACAGCTACCCCCTCTACTAACCATTATCTACTAAACCGCAGCCCCCTCTCCCTCGTTTACTAAATTCCAGTCCCCACGTCTACTAAACCCCAGCTCCTGTTGTAAAAAAAATTAAAAAATACATTAGCCAACAAGCAGTGTCCGGTGTTCGGCCTCTGGTATACCCCCAATGGTCCCATCTGCACCTTTAAAAAAAGCGGATCCTCCTGTTACTCCCTGAAACCCTCACACACACTCACTGATATTCACACAATCACTCCGACACACACATACACTTACAGACACACACATTCACTGACAGACACACAGACACACTCATTCACTAACTCACAGAAACACACAATCACTCAGACACACACTGACATATGTACACTCAATCACACAAACAGACAGCAATACAGACAGCCATGGACACACACGCAGAGAGTAATTCAGCCAGACATACACACAGACAGCCATACACACATACACAGCCATACAGACAGCCATCCATTCAGCCACACACACACACAGCCATACAGACAGCCATAGACACACACAGCCATGGACACACACAGCCATACAGACAGCCATGGACACAGACACCCATGCACACACAAATTTTATTTAAATCTACCCAGCCTCCCTGCACTTGGGAGAGCTGGGTGGATTTCTTACCTGGGGTCTAGTGGGGCTGCTGGGCAGTTGGGCGGACAGGCCCTGAGTGTAAGCTCTCCCTGCTCAGCTCCTTCATGTGCTGCAGAGTGATGCCGGGAGCCGAAGTGACGTTATATTCCAGCTCCCGGCATCACTGCGGGGAGCTGAGTGGGGGGAGCTTGCACTCAGCGCTCCATCGCCGCGGGCCACAAACATATTAGTTGTGTGTCGCAAGTTTGACATGCATGCCTTAATACAATGTAGACAAGGAGTAAATATTTAGTTTCATTATCCACTTTCATGCATTTTGAGAAGTAAACACATAACCTCAAAAAGAAGGTACTATAAGATAATCTGCAAAAATATATATGATTTAACGATCCAGTATAGCTAGTCCAATTTTTTTTATATATATATATATATATATATATATACCAAAATAAACAGGACCGGTATCAGCTTCAGTTAAAAGCACTAACAGAATACTAAGTATAAAGGAAATTATTTGAATCACTATTCGGATGTTTTGTGCTTATTCCATTCGGTCCGATTTTTATATTTATTATACTATGCACATTCCCAGTTTTTGTTATGTATATTGTATATATTATATGTATAGAGTTATTCTGCTATATAAACATATTGTATGCAGCGATGTTATAAGTGTTCCAAGACAGAACTTTTAAACATAGGTTTGTCTCTTTAAGAGATTATTAATGCCGCTTTGAAAGCACAGTATATAACTGCTCGGAAAAGCGGCTGCGGCACCGATCTTAAAAAAGACAATTTCAGAAGGGCGAAACTTGTTGATGGAGCCAGTTTTTCATTCCAGCATCTGGTGACCACACACGATGTTCGGTCTCTCAGCAAGAGATACCTTTGGCATTCCTCCAGGTGTAGATCGTAGACGGTCAGCTCAAGTGCACAGAGCAGACGCCGTCTCTTCCCAAGGAACTGGTAACCTTTTAACTGCCTGGCTGACTCAAGTGTACACTTTGCTGTTTTAGTGGTACTTAAATATAAGCATCGCGATTTTATCTTGTTAGAGTTTCTTATTGGGGTGTTTTATAGAGGTGAAATAAATCTACAGCGTTACACTATATTATCGTTTCCTTAATTTCAAGGTATGATCATCAAAATCATGTTACAATACAGAAGTGGACACAGTTAAAATATTTCACCCTGCATCACTGCTGATGTCTATGCAGTTACATTTGATACCCATTTAGGCACTCGGATTATACAAGTTTGATAGGTAACACCTTGGTGAATCTCTCACAGGGGAGGACTTCCTAAGCGCTGACACTGTAGTTTTGTACCTCCCCTATTGTCACTTGCAGCAATCAAAATAACATTATATCCATATGAACCTGTATCTAACATCAAGTGTATAGCATACATGTTCGTTGGCACAGGTTTAGTTCCGTGCACTTACTGATGTGGGTGTGGGTCTGTGGCTTGTGCTGTCTGAGGTCGTATGTGTGTGGCTGTAGTGTGCATCAATCGTCGCTGATAGAGTCTCGGTCTGTGCCTATCACATGGTGCTTGCTTGATAAATGTAAAGTAAAAGAGGAACCTGAACCCCGTGGTCCCGTCTCCCCCCAGTCCATCCACCCGGCAAGCCTGCCTGAAATAGGAGAGGGATTACGCGGGTAAGGGGCAGAGACAGTGAAAGGGGGGCAAGCACTCAGGGAAGATAGGAGGAAAGAGGGGTGGAACAGGAGAAGTAGGGCAGGCGAGGGGGAGAGAAGGAAAGAAAAAAATATGAAAAAACAAACAAAAAAGGGGTTGGAAGATATCAGGCCAGGCGCACTGTGAGTTCAAAAAGTGTCTTTGTTTGTAGGCAGATACAAGAAGTTTTGTATGGTGCAGGAGTTGGAGATTCGTGCCTAAGACCTCTTTAATCGTTCCATTTATTTTTTGCCAGAAAAGTTGGATTTTTTTCGACATCGGTCTCACATCTCCAGCATGTATCAGTAGTGTCTAGGTTCAAGCAGCTGATAAGTTTGTAGTTCAGCTCTTTTAATTTCATACTTATCGTACCTTGGTGTGCCAGTGTGTGTATTTTTTCCCATTTTTTTTGGGACACCGTTGTGTTGGTGCCCTGTTCCCAGCATGCCATGTGTTTCGGAGGAGCCCTCTGAGTAGAGGTCACTTCCTGTTAGTCCGGCCGGGTACAGGAGACAGATGCTCCCTGTACCCGCGGACTATACAGAGCTCGGCCACGCTACAGTGAGGGAGTGACAGGAGGGGAGCGCTGAGCCCGGGCGGTGCGGTGTTCCCTCATGGACACACCAGCCCGGGCAAAGCTACAGCCGCCTGAGGCACTCTACAGAGTGCTCGGGCGGCTGCAGCATGAGGGGGGCCTTCCCAAGGGGCACCCTAGGCGGCTGCCTAGTCCGCCTAACAGGTAGCGCCGGCCCTGCTCACACTGCCTTCAGGGTTAGCTACAGTTCACAGAAGAGTGTTTGGCACTATTTATCTAAAGAGCGTTATCTACAGTAACACAGTATGCTATGTACAGTTACACAGAAGACTTATGTACAGTTACACAGTAGAATGTTATGTACAGTTACTCAGAAGGCTATGTACAGTTACACAGAAGAATGTTATGTACAATTACACAGAAGAGTGTTAGGTACAGTTACAAAGAAGAGCGTTAGGTACAGTTACAAAGAAGAGCGTTAGGTACGGTTACAAAGAAGAGCGTTATGTACGGTTACACAGAAGAGCGTTATGTACGGTTACACAGAAGAGCGTTCGGTACGGTTACACAGAAGAGCGTTATGAACAGTTACACAGATGAGCATTGTGTAGTTACACAGATGAGCATTGTGTACAGTTACACAGAAGAATGTTACGTACAGTTACACAGAAGAGCGTTATGTGCCATTGATCTGAAGAAGTGTTAGGTACATCTTATCCGAAGAGTGAAATGTACAATTAATAAGAAGAATGGAATGTGCAGTTTCTCGCCTGTGCATCACTGAAGGGCCTGACTTGTCTGTGCCCCATTGATCTGGCCTGCGTTGTCTGTCCCCCATTGATCTGGCCTGCATTGTTGTCTGTGCCCAATTGATCTGGCCTGCATTGTTGTCTGTGCCCCATTGATCTGGCTTGCGTTGTCTGTGCCCCATTGATCTGGCCTGCATTGTCTGTGCCCCATTGATCTGGCCTGCGTTGTCTGTGCCCCATTGATCTGGCCTGCGTTGTCTGTGCCCCATTGATCTGGCCTGCGTTGTCTGTGCCCCATTGATCTGGCCTTCGTTGTCTGTGCCAGAATGTCTGCATGCCAAACCTTGCTGCTACATACTCACGCTTGGGCATTGCATGCGCTGCCAGACTTGCCTCTGTCACTATATGGGATGCTTCTGCCGGTGACATTTGTCCGTTTTACCCCTAGAGGTCACTTTGCCTAGGACCGCTCCACAGGAGAACCCTTTATGCGGGGGAATGAGCACAGGCGATGTCTAATACGGCAGCGACCACCTTCTAAAGAAGGCAGGCGACTTGAATGAGTCAGACTCTCCTGATGAGGGCAGGCAAGTGCGAATAAGTGCTACTGGAAGGGTAAAGACCCTGAACCAGGCGCCTGGAAAGATAGACTCCGGAGAAGCGTCTAATCCCGATGCAATCTGCCTCGACGGCCAGACGGTACTGCCTATATGGCGTGAGGGAGGCGGTGTCTTTAAGTGACCACTTAAAAAAAAAAAAAGGGCAGACGACTTGAATGAGTCAGACTCTCCTAGAGGAGAGCAGGCAAGTGTGCATAAGCACTACTAGAAGGGTGAAGGCCCTGAACCAGGCCCCGGAAAGATTAGACTCTGGAGAAGCGTCTAGCCCCGATACGATCGGCCTCGATGGCCAGACTACACTGCCTATGTGGCACAGGGTTGAAAGTCCCCGTAACCCACCCCCCCACCACGGCCGCCCTAGCTGAATGGCGGGCGGACCTGTCCCCCAAGTGGCACCGTGGGATGGAGAACAAAGCCCACTACAGGGGCTCTGACGACCTTGGAAGAAGAGGTCGTCTCGTGGGTCACCTTAAACGAACCCCTGTGCAAACCTTGACCCAGAGACCTGGTTTCCTTGGAAGGGTCTCTGCCCGAGCACCTAGCACCATGGGTGCATTTCTGGGGCCGTAGACCGCTGGCTTGAGAAGCCCCCAGGATACTTGGAGCGGTATACCCAGCCGGGCTCCCGAACAAGGTAGCCTCGTACCCAGACTAGCAGGACATACGACCAAGTATATTAGGTGTACGGTTTTTATATGAAAAAAACTTTACGGAGACATATCTAAAGCTCCAACCCGTACCTGTTATAGGGGATTGGACCCTTGGCCCCGGAATTTCACATTTGCCTCCACCTTCAGATGACACACCAGACGGGGCCCTGAATCTGAGGATTGCAGGCGACCCTATCTTAATCAATTTGGACCGCTGGAGGTGCTTGGGATTAAGGGATCTGAGCCCTTTGGAGCCCTCGCACGAGACTATGCTTGAATGTATATCGATTAGTTACTTTGAATTAGACGTGGTCCTCAGGGAACTTCTAAGGACCACGAGGTCCATTCCTGGTAAGGCAGGCTCATTTTTCTCCCTGGCGAGATATGTATTTGGGGCATCATTCATTTGGACGATAATACAGCCTGGCTGGCAAGTTTGGGGGAATTTAGGACATTTGGGAATACCAGAACTATCGGAAGAGATCCTTCTCGTTTTTCCACGAGGACGTTTCGCTGTACGGTTTACCCTACGCTTTCCTCTACCCAAGCTCTTGTACGTTTGGAATAGTTTTTCCGGAAGCACCCGGCGTCAAGACTTTAGTCCACGGAGGAGGACCCATAAGGCCCCGACCAGTTTCAGCTGGCGTACAGACCCATTTGCTCAATGATGGACGCTTCCCTCCAGGGGTGTTCGACACGGAGATGCTGACGAGTCTCCTCCGTTTGTTTGGTTCCAGGACCTTACTACAGGTGTCTCAGTCTGCTAGTACTTTGGTTTTATGGCATCCATTTTGGCCAAGTCAAAACTGGTGTCCTGGATTCCCTGGACCTTTCCCACTTGATCTCAGGGACTGTAAAACGTTTGTCTGCATGGCGACCCTAACGTAGTTGGGTCTGGTACGGATTACCAGAAATTTTGCAAGGACTGTTACAGGGTTTGAGAATTGTTTTGTCACTTGATTGACATTTAGATTAGGTAGCGCGTACGACTGTTTTCGGCAGGCCTCGCTCTGCTTAGTATCTCCCTTCGAGCTAGACGTGCGGTTCATAGGAGTGTGAGTCCTTTACGATTCCCAAGGACAGGTGTTCATCTCCCCAACGAGTACACACGTTTTTTGTTATGCTTCAATTGACGGTTTTCGTCAGGTTTTTGTCCATCTCCAACTCTGGATTTGTTTCCTTTATTATACCTTGTTTTTCTTTGAGATGGGTTGGGATGTTCGGGCCTTAGTTGTCTATCGGCTCTAGTCGGACCCGAGGGTTATACTCTTATCTTGGTTGTGCGTCCCTCCTTTATGCTGCGTTCGACGCCTCCTGTCAATTATAAAATTGTAGATTATACTAGCTTTAGTGTAACCATAATCTTAAAGGACCACTATAGTGCCAGGAAAACATACTCAGGGTCCCCCTCCCGCCCGGCTATGGAAAGGTGGAAAGGGGTAAAACTTACCTTTTTCCAGCGCTGGGCAGGGAGCTCTCTGCCTCCGATCCTCCTCCGTTCCTCTGAAACTGCTATGTTTATTAAAAAAAATGGGTTAACCCTAGCTGGACCATTAAGCTGACGTGGTCTGGGTGCCTAGAGTGGTCCTTTAATTTTATTAATGACAGGAGGCTAATATATCCCTCCCAGTTTCTCCCTCCCCTTGTTTGTT